GCACGGGTAGCCGATTTTTTAGAAGAAACATCGTACAGACATCTTGTATGTTGTTGGTGATTAAAAAAAAATGCGCCATCTGTCTTCTCTTAGGACCTCAGAATGTATGATCAGATAGCCAGTTCTGGAAAGGTGGATACAACAACCTTCTAAAAAATCGATTTGATAGTCTGTGTAGCCAATACAATATTACTAACAAGGCCACCAGCGTACAGTGAGGTACGGTAATAGATATTTTACATATGAGCTAAATGGAACCATTCGATAGCTAATTTCCTGAATAATGTTTAAACACGAGTACGGCATTTTGTTTCCGATGCATTATATTATCCGATACATTATACTGAGCCGAAACGTCCCCACGCATAGTATTTACAAATAGTAGTGTGCCTCAATGATGCGTAATAATTCAGATTTACAACTTTTTTATGCATGTAACTAAAATGTAATTTGAAATCCGTTTGTACTACTTAAAATAGATTTTTGGGTAAAAGTGTCCGAACTAACTCTTTATTTTGTACCTTATGTAGGGTGCTGTTTGATATATGTTAGTTTGTGTGTAGGAGGCAATCGAGTGCACGCTTTCTACTGCTGGCGTTTACATAGTGCCTGTGTCTGTCATCTGTAGTCAATGAAGTCTGTACACGGTGTGCGTTGCAAAACACGCGAATGTTCTAATCGGAGTGAGATCTAGTCATTCCGACACAGTCTTCTTCTAACAAATTACTTCAGCATGCCTATCATTAGCAGGCATTTTTGAGCAAAACGTATACATGACTGGAAACTTAATAGATGCCAATCTCCCTTGAAATAATTTACCTACTCAGGTGTGCATTTCTTTCTTCTCAAAGAGTTATTCATTATTCCATAATGTATAGTTTTAAATTTGATATCACCACGCTATCTGTTTAAGCATAGTTTGCATACTGCGATCAGCCGGAAAGAATATACTGACTGTATTACATTAATAAGGGATTGTTTACTTGAAACCCTGTTGGTAGCTCACGTTGTGGTCTTGATTATCGTTAATTGCCTGTAAGCTGAGCATTTTTTAAAAAAGGATACCTATAAGCAGGGAACTTCATTGTGGTAACCGTTTCTTGATCAGTAGGCTATTGACGAAAATCACTAGTATAAAATTAATTTTCATTTATGATTACAGTGACATCGTTTCTAATCTTATCATTCTTTTTATGTCTACTAGATACATTTATTGTAAAATAAAGTCGTCGATATCCAGAATGTAGAATAACCGACCCCCAATGTCCGGCTCCGAAAAAGAGACACTGGGGTAAGAAGCATTTTCGCCGGAATGGCTTTGCTGATAAGTGCGTCCATTCAAACAGGTTTCTATTGATTTATCATGTACCAATACACGGACTGTGTAGATATTTCTTTACATTAATGACAGAGGCCTTTATTGCTTTTTAGTGTCTCATTGATGACTGACTTCTGTCTGCAATCTACTCTAAGATGTGATTAACATAGCATTATTACTAAAAATGTGCAACAAGCACTCTTAAATTCGTGGGTTTTTTTTACCCAATCGTGCACATATAAGTACGCAGATGAGCAAACAAGACTCTCGCGGGATTATAGTAAGGGGAACAAGCTACGCTATTATCTTTTACTTGTGTTACTGGCTCGGCATGGAGGCTTACGTACGAGCAAACTTATGGTGCACTTGCTGTGCGATGGTGGTGCTTCCCGTCACAAGCTTGAGATCCGAAATCTCTTTCGTCTTGCGTAGTAATGTCGCACGCTTTTCCGCGCCGCCAAGTCAAATTTGCTACTCACCTCGATGAAGGGTTTGTCTTCTACGCCTGTCGCGCTACAGTATTGTACTGTGCAGGAAGGCTGATAGGCATTCTCATATCTTTGGAAACAGCAACAGTAACTATTGGTAGCAGGTGGCAAGAATGGCAAACTCCGCTGCTTCCTGATGCCGACTACGTCACCACTGATGCCACACATCGAATATGTCAAGGACAGGTGGCGCTGCGACATTAAGCAACAGCCACAACCACTGTTGATAGTGGAGCAGCTCTCAGAACGCCAGTAAGCCAGCCAACCTGCAGACAAGATATCAAACACTTACAGGAACACGACTGCCTTTTACTTCTGAAATGCTGCCAAGCAGACGCTGTACTGAATGGCAGTCGGTGGTTGACGCAGTTTTTACAGCCCTGTACCATATCACCGTGATAGTGTAGTAAGTAATATGTTTGTTAGCCGAACTTAAGGACACGTGATTGTCTAGGTTTGAATCCAGGTGTACACACTTCGTTTCGAACTGGGAACCAGTGATCTGAACTAATGCACTAAAACCTAAGTATCGGACGCAAGACATGACAAACATCGATCTTCATACATTGACGTGCTCATATGCTCGTTCTGTACGGCGAAAATTGAGGACAATGATGGCAATAGACGGGAGGAAGCGTGTGTATCATAAAGGAGAACGATGATTTTTGATACGTTTCCGGAGCCATAATTGTGCTGCTGCTTATTTTTATTAACTAGTGTTTGCGTTGAAGAACTGTGACTGCCAAGACTGCTTCTATTTAATGTTTCCATGTTCACACAGAGGAACTTTTGTGGGTATGAAACCGCTTAACCCTAAATAGCTCATTGCAATCACAAAATTCCAAATGTGGTCAACGATATTTATCTATTTTCGGTACTATTATTATTCTTCATTTACGAAAACCTTAATTTTATTATCTTTACTTCCAATCACTACGTTCAGCGATAAGATGATGAATCGTAGTTGCAGAAATAGCAGCTGCTGCTTACATCCAATCTTTTCTCTCAAGAGGCGTGTTTTAGTATTGTGGATCTCCTATGACTACAGTCAAAACGAATCTGATATGCTGGAGAGCTAACCATTCGACGTTGTAACGTGTACTTTATACGCTGTAAACAAAAGATAAGACGATAAATGTCTTGAGTCACGTATTACCTGAATAGCCTTAACGAAACCAAGATGTGTCTGGTATTGGTATACAAGACCATGAATGGATACCTGAAATCTCATTAATTCCATTTCTCTTGTCGCAATGCAATTTTAATGCTAATCACATGTTTGGCTGTTTATACCTAGGATAGGCAGAAAAAGCAGCTTTACTGTTACATAGAATCTACACCTCAGCATCTATTTATGAACTTCTAAAAATAATTACATTAACATACCTAGGGGCTAATGGGCTGTTATCGGTAGTTAAAGAACGAGCTTGTTGCCGATGTGCGCCGTACACACCGAGGTTCTTTCTTGAAGTATCAAACGGAAACCATCAAAGCAGCAACAGTAAGACGACGATCAATATAGCAGCTAAGATTTGCTAAACTCTATTTAGTAAAATACTTCGTTTTGTTACTTACCAGCCTTTTTGTTATTTCTACCCTCCACATTTAGATACAGGTGTTCTTTCGAAGCAATAGGACGCTTAGCATCCTCAAAAAGGCCAAGAATAGAGAATTACAAGGCAGTGGAGGATAATTATAGTAAAACGGTAAGTACGTCAGACTCGGTCGAAAGAAATAGAGAAGGAGAGCCGCCAATTCATTCCGTAAACAGTTTAAATGTTTCGGAGTAAAGTTCAATTAAAAACTCTGCTGTTCCCTCTTTTGTTTGCAATTACCCTGAATCTCCCTAGCTTGTTCAGTGCGTATTGAATTTCCATCGTCATTTTCCTCGTCGCCAGCTCTCAGTGGCCTTTAGCAGATAAAAGGAGTGCAGAAGGGAACAGAGAGAAGCAAGCAGATCACGTTAGTGGGGAATGACAGCTCTGAGGGCACTATGGTACGAACCACTATCTACCTGTCCCTTCATATTTGATTATTCCCCGGCTTCTTCTTGTCTCCGCTTCTACGACCTCCCTTTTCAAAGACTGGGGATCTTCGTTTCTTTTTGACCTAACCAAGCCCTAAGTTTCTAGCTCTATCCTAGAGAAAGTCCAACTGCCGGAGACTTGCTGCTCAAGATCTCCGCCTAGAGCGCGCTGGACGGGAGATATCGAAAAAGAGGCCAAATGGACAAGTAAAGCCTGTGCCGTAGCATTTTCGGGTCTTTGTGACCCTCGTTCATTTGTGCCGATTTAACGTTTCTAAACCAACCCGAAGGACAGAGGCGGTAAGCTGAGAGCTTATCTGCTATTGCCAGGAGCTACAAGTCATAGTCTAGAGACTGAGCTTAAAAGTGACTATTAAACGGCACATGTTTCTCTTTTAGACCCATTTATTTAGGATTGAGAACGGTGTTATGCGCTATTTATGTTGATGTTTCCGTCCTGATAGCTGTCTGCGAAGTTATTTTCGATCCGAACACCTTAAAGTCAACTCGAGTCATTGTTCGTGCAAGAAGTTAAGGCCGACCGTTTCAGCTTTAGACACCGTAGCTGATTTTCGCATACGACGCAAGACAGCTAACTGAGAGCCATTTATTTGTTGAAGGTTCAATTACGGCCTCTGAGAGGCGAATTTGTCTGGTCAAGGCTTTTAACTCAACGTACAGCAAAATAGAAAAACTAGCTACAGAGAATGCCTCTCTAAGATATCCTGCTCAAGCCCGCTTGGTCCAAATTTCTTAATCTTAAGGCTTAAAGACTTAAAAATCAGGTAGGTGCTTAAATTTACCATATGTACTCTGTTCGAGAAAGTTGAATATTTTGCAATACAGCCTAATGGTAAATTATGCTCTTAATACCCTTGTGGTAAAAGTTTTAAAGTGTCTTCTCTCGCTGTCGAACGCTCACGTGCAGGTTTTCCAGATTTCCACCCAAAATATTTCCCACTACACAATCATATCTATGTAATTCAGCACACAGCCAATTATATGAACATCTAATAATGAATATTATTTGGTAGAGAGGCAAACTATTATCAAGAGTAACGGATACGTATTAGACACTCATATTCGATAATGTTCTGTTCCAGTTTGTTTGATTAGCTAAAGGTTATAGCAATCATAGGACATCGAACGTAGTAGATATTACACTTACCAGTCTTGGACGAGCTGAGAACGAGCTTGAGAATCCGGGCAGGTGGATCAGGCACCGAGGTTAAATTGCCTTGAAGAACTGCCTGCAGGATATGGTCCTGGTAGAGGCTAGCTGACTGAGCCATATTTAGCGTTTCGCGTTTTAGAACCTCCAAGGACGAAACGAATACCAACAGACGCCTGAACAGGATATCTTACCTATATTAGCCATTATACCTGTAAAACCTAAACGTATGTAACGTTGCCTACGTTAATATTAAACATACATGTATTAAAGTATATTTTTATTGAAAAATACGCGTCCATCTGACTCGATATCGGGTAATCAATCAGATTCTCACGAACGTTTACCGGATTGCTATCGCCATTTCTCATCTTTAGCTAAATCTAGAAGCGTGTTGTCGGCCATACGACATTTTATAGCTGTTTGTTATGTCTTGACGCCAGAAATCAGTTGCCGTCTTTTGACATTCATAAACGTATGGCTTTAAATTGGCTGACTAATTTCGCCATGTAAATAATCGATCTTTTTTGATACATCAAGATATGGGGACGAGCTACGACCAAAAAACAGATCATTGCATAACGATTTGGCGATATAGCTTGCCTCTTGATGTGGTGATCCAGGGCGTTGCGTTATCAGAACATACGGTCACAGTCAGGCAAACGTACGTGGGCTGTAGCGTTGCGTAATTACCATGTATTTATATCCCCAGTTAAACCATTTTTGTCCATTTTCATACTCAAACGACTGTTCTTACAGAATACATTTTCTTTTATCACTGACCAGTTGTAGATGCTAGAGAATGTTTTGCTTTCTTGTAACAGTACCGAAAGGGATAACTAAATTGCAAGAAATGTTAACCCTTAGAAACAACATAGTACGTTCACTTTGCCTAATAAACCGACATATTGTTTAAAAAATCCTGTTTTCACAACTACGCACGTTGAGCCCCATTTACCGTCTGTGTATTGCAGAAAGTGAATCTTACTGATAATTGAGGAAGTCAGGCAATTCCGTAACTTTATTAGTTGTCCTGTTTCTGTTCCGACGTTTTTCATGAAGCTTTTAAGAGAATATTTTACGTAGTTGAAATGACCATCGTTCTGGGCGCAGTTCATCCCAGTAAAACGATATACGTGGAATGTTCTAACAGTGATCTCTAAGTAAACACTCAACTCGAACCTTAAACATATCGCAATAGCGTTTGTCTTACAATTATAGTGTAAGTTCAAGCTAATTGTTGAATTTTCATCATCGGTAAAGTATGCAGAAGTACGAGTTACTACTAACTTGGGTGCAGTTTCTCAATATAAACCTTAATCACTCCATTACGACTTCATTGATAGAAGTTCATAGATGCCCGGATATATCAAAGAAACTCTTAATTTTTTTCTGTTTGACCATTAAGCCAAACACCACTAAAAGTTTGCTCTATATATATATATACTTTTTTTTGGACCTTTTTTTTTGTACTTCCGCTATTGTTAGTCAATAAATAAAACAGGTAAGTCCTATCGTGCAGACATTCCGCTGTATATTACCTCATTAAAGCGTAGAGCAACGTGTTGCCACAGACGGGAACAGTGGCCGGTAAATGACCATTAAGGCAATTAGTTCGTACTAATCAGAGTGGCGAATGCATGTTTGACATTTATGCCTGAAAATATACAATAGAAGCCTAGGTTAAACCACAAAGAATGCAATTTTCACACCATAGTTAGCCAATATACCACATGAAACATGATGTGTTAAATATATTTCATATGTGCTTAAAAAGGAGCACCTTCCAGTCAGACCAGACACTAGGATCAGGGTATAAAGGCCTTAGCCGCTAGCCGATATTTTGTTGTCTCCGACCAACTGCCTTGTCCTTTACAAGTTCGAAGCAACGCGGAAGCCCCCGCCCGCCACATATGTGAAAGCAAATGAGCAACGAGATCTGGAAAACGGCGCGTTGTCTGAGGATCACGCCGGAACACATCAACCACCAATCACATAGTCGCAAAAGGCAAATGTGAGGGGCAACCATCACCAGTATTAGGTCATGATCTACATGGTCGCCGGCATTAAAGCAAGGCATCAGAGGGAGAGTCTGGCCGTGAAGAACAAGAGGGATCAGTGTATACCGTGCAAGGAGCAAGCGACCGTACGAAGTTGCCAAATTGGGACCTTAGTAGGAAAAGCATCAAGTGCATATTACGATGATGAACAGAAGTGCAAAGGCATCAGAGTCGTTGGAGGACTGTGCCGACAACACCCGGGACGATGCCTATCCGGAAGGCGTTGCATCAACACGAAACCACTTAGGCAAAGAACACAGAGCACATGCAAATGCTGCATGGCTGTAGCATTGCTGATAACAATGGTCCAGCATTACGGTCAGAATGTAGACAATAATTCGGATACGATAACGGTATAAAGCTCTAACCACGAGTCGACCTCTAATCAGTCTCCATCTAGCGGCCTGTTACCGATTAGCCAGCTAGGTAGCTGGCAACAGATGTGATTTGGCATTGTGATGGTGCAAGACGAAGCGTTTTCTGTTCCCTAGTTCCGATCGAATTTATGCAATGGTTTGCTAGTCTCGTTAGTTGTTGACAGTAGAAGTCGAACTCCATCGTTCTGTCAGGCAATAACAACTTATTTGGCACAGTTCGTCCCTTATTCCACCAGACGCATGGTATCACCTTCTTTGGCGCCAGTCTGGGTCTTGTCACAGATTGTGAACATTTTTTTTTATTTATACATTATTATTGTTGTATACAATCTATTTTCCATAAGCTGTGATTTACGGTTCAGTGAAACGTTTTGATGTTATTATGTCTTTAGTAAAGTTCTGCAAATGACGATCGACTAGATTCACTGGCGTAAATTCCTGTGGAGCCAAAACCATACTTCAAATGGTTTAAAACTGCTTGGTGATTGATATTTAGTCCGTTGACGATATCATGGCTAGTCAATTTTTACAATAATTCCCTCAAGTTCTTTTCCTTATTGGTCAGCCACTACTGGAAGTGTTTTTCGCAGTAAAATTTTTAGAACGAAGGTAACACAAGTAGCTTTGGGCTCTTCTCCACATAAAGGTCTTTCCGACCCCTTATGGGGAGAAAGAGCCCCAACTTTTTTATGAGCCAGGGCAGCATTTGTGATTTTGCCATAATAAAATTGTAAAACATAACGATTTTTTGCAGAATTTTTAATCATATTTAAGGCGCTCAGTCTTAAGTGCGAAACAAGAGATGCACTACCGATGTTGGTGCGTCGAATTTGGACTTTCAAATGATAAACGCCGATCCGACGCGACTAATACCGCCTGCGATATATGAGTTTAAAGGCGTCTACGTAGAGAGTCTACAATTTTTTAATAGCTCAAGGTGTTCTAGCGCATTTCATTTTCACATAGTCCTTGCTACCTACCAGAAATGTATGTCAAGCAATCTAAAGATCCATTTTTATGCCATAATGTATTTCAATGAAAAGTGCGCGAAAGTCCCTCTTAGATATTCACCGTACGCCATCTACACGAAATAAGTAGAACGTACATTTTATATTACCCATTGGATATTAGCCTGATATTGGACGACGGTCATCATGTACGATTCGTTCCAATTTTTAGAAAAGGAGAATAGGCCGCCTATTTACAAAAACAAATATGACCTTATTTCGAAATTCCAATAGAGAAAAAAGATGATTAGTACCAAGCATAATTGCTGGTACAACTGTAACTTTTCTCTATTATAGCATACATATATCTAGATGGTATAAACACAGCTAGTTTTAAACTCACAGAGACGATTTTGGCCTTGCCGTCTGCTTTTTAACATTTGTCTTTCGAGGATTTGTCATTTAACATACAGGTTAACCTGAACTTACTCGATACTAAAAATATTTATTTAGATCTATATTCTGGATCTCGATAAACTCTTTATGTTTTGTATTGTAAATATTTCAGTAGGCCAAAGAGCTATCAATGGCGACGTTACATTGGTTATTTTGTCATTTATTGGCTTTACATGTTCAATAAATCGAGCTTCATTACATGCTTGCTCCAACTACTTCTCATATTTCGCCAGAGGACAGACCCATGAGGGACCTGCTTTTCGGCAAAAGAATCCGTTTCATAGGAATGCCATTGCCGCTAACACGCTCTCCTTGTATGAACCGTTTGGCGACTGGACTTACCTTCCACCTCTATTTTGTTTTATCTATCTATCTTGTTGGCTGGATGGTTCACCGCTCCATGTGGAATCACTCTGGAAACCGTGAGAGCCCGGAAAGCCGCAAGGAAAAAGTTCCCACTGGATGACGCACTTCTGGCAACTGCTTCTGTCCTTACACTTAATTACAGCCGCTGCTCGCTTCACGTGATCATTCCCTTGCTTCTGGTTTTCCATCTCGACACTGCTGAACGAAACTGTTGCCATCTGCCGGAAGCGGACTTTTGCCCTGGCCGCTCATTCTTGCCCCAAACAGCTTTGCCGTCTGCTTCTCGAAAGACGTTAGTAATAGCAACTGATAGCTGACGCTGCTGATTCGCGCATCATCAGATATTTAGCCTGTTTCCTCGTTCACAACACTTTCAATCAGCTTCGTTCGCTCGTCCACCAACGGCAAGTCTCTAGCATTGGATTAAAATGACCACACGATTGCCGTACTAACTTTAGTGCTTGACATTCACTCCTACGCTAGCCATGGTGCGATATCAACATTTATTGTTGATATGGCCATTTTGAAAACTCAAAACATATAAGCTTAAATGAAAAGGATTGCTTCAAATAGAAAAAAAGGTTATGCTCTATACGAGTGTTACAACGCTCATGATTAAGCCTGAATTCTGGATAAAGGTGTGCCTAAACCTTATAAATCACCGTCGATTATGTGAGCACGTTTATTCGCCCACATGTGACAAAGGGATTCTCGATATCATCAAATAGAGAAGATCAAGATTCTCAACCAGTAAATATCATCTGAATTGGTATCGATACGCAGGATGACTCTTTGACATACAAAAGAAACACAACATCCTAGTATTGTTATTGCGTAGCTAAATATCCATCAATAGATTTATCCAGGTGCTGGAGCAGGATAAACAATCAGGACAACAGCATTCTAGCGCCGGTGCATGTAAAGACGTGAACAAATATTTTAAGTATATAAAAAGTACGAAACTGGTTATCATTGACTGCGATTTATAAAACGTAAATTGTAAGTGGAATAAGGCTCAATGTAATCTGACGAAATGGCTCTGCTGTACTTTGTGTAAGGATTACCTTCATAAGATGCGTATCCCTTCATATGTACAATTTGGGTGTTAGATTCTAATCGCAAGCCCATCCAGGACGTTTTCGGTTTTTCTTTTCTAACAAAGACTATGAAAATTTCCAAGAAGCAGATAGGTATATACACATATTTGTATCGGTACTCTAGCGACGTCACTACAGACAGCGGCAGCAAGAGGAAGGTGAATCCTTAGAGACGAGAAGCTAATTAGTTAATAATGTTCGAGGATGGCCGAAGTAGCCGGTTAAGGTGCAAGGGGTGCCTGTGGCGGTTGATACCTCAGAGTGCGAGAAAAGTCGCTACCAAAACTGCCAATTTAAAGTCGACGCTTGCAGAAAATGCTGGGGCATATACGAGTGCACGTTGGAAAACCGCGCTCTCAACAGCTAAAAAAACGTTTCTCCCCGATAAAGTTAAGTAGGCACAGAGAGCTAGAATGACGGCTCGACGGTATTGAGGCTAACCCCACGACGTCGTTTCAGGAAACCCTGGACGACTATCAGTCGGAGATTACCGCGCGCTTGGATAGCGTACAAAAGTGTTACGGCCCATACCTATAATTCTGGGAATTTCTGTTACTATCGTTACGCAAGCACGAAATGTTGCTTGAAAAGGTGTCAGTACTTAGAATAGTTACGGAAACTAGTTCAAATAGTAATTCGGGAAGTATATTTTTGTACTATTTATAGTCACAGAACAAGTATCCACTCTAGTACGTAAAACTAGGTGGAAGTGCGGCGTATTCAGAAAGCCGTGCAATCCTATGCAAGATCGCTCAAAGCATGACGGTAATAATTTTAGTTATTTTTTGTGAATGCATATTTAAACACATTAATTTATATCTCAATATAGACATAACGTGGCTGAACATTAAACTAAAACATGAAGGTTAATTTCGAATGGTTGGAACACGCCTCTTATCCATTATGCGATATACACAACACGTATTGTACGAAGAAAGATTGCACACTCCCGAAACACAAAACTAAAAGAATACCTATTTTAGGCAATTGCCTACAGGCAGTCAAAAAGTATGTGGAAAATCGGAGTAGAAGACAAGGGTGATGTAGCAGTCAAACTAGATGTTCGTGGAAGTTGAGTATTAATAAGGGGTACAAATGGTTGTGATGTTATGTATTATATGCTCAAATGAAGAGTCCGACACAGATATTCAGCCGGTCAATTCATACATCTGTTTGCACGTATATACATATATATACCATACCAGTGCACGTGTAAATACATGTACACGGTACATGAATAAGGCCACTTCTGCTCAAACGCAATGCCACAATCATATGCACGAATGCCGTACGTAAAACTCAAAAACCGCTGGTGTTCATGAAAAGCGCCCTCTGCTGTCAGGCAAAGCTATAG